CTCCCATCTAGTGTGCCCACATCCCCCCACATCTTGGTGTTGTCAGCAAATTTGAACAGGGTGCTTTTTAGCCCCTCATCCAAGTCACTGAAGAAGATGTTGAACAGTGCGGGCCCAAGGACCGAGCCTTGTGGAACCCCACTGCCCACATCCCTCCAGGATGAAAATGACCCATCCACCACCACTTTCTGGGTGCAGCCCTCCAGCCAGTTAGTGACCCATTTAACTGTGTAGGTGTTGACCTACACAGTCCCTGAGTTTTTTTAGTGAGAATAGGGTGAGAGACAGTGTCAAAGGCCTTCCTAAAGTCCAGAAAGACTACGTCCACTGCTACCCCTGCATGTCAGGGTCTATGCACCTCAAATACAATGCTGCACCCTTCTGACACCGGGGCCTCTGCACCCCAAATACAATACTGTGCCTCTCTGGCTCCAGGGTCTCTGTTCCCCAAATACAATGCCGCACTCTCTCTCGTGCTGGGGTCTATGCACCCCAAAGTGCCGTGCCCCTTATGGCGCTGGGGCCTGCTGCACCCCAAATACCATGCCGCACCCTCCCTGGCACTAGGGTCCTCACACTGCAGTGGGCCCCCTATGAGGCCTCCTTCCCCAAATAGCCTTACCCAAACCACTGGTGATATGAAACAATAAACAAAACACAAGTCCCTGGGCTGTAACATAATGCAAAAAAACAAGGGTGTGCTCTGTCCCCTTAAAAGCATAGAACTTCCTCTCTGGCCCTTAAATATCTTATGGGCAATGGTACCTGCATATCTCATGGATCCCTATTAGCCCTGGGTGCAGCATATTAAGCAGTTGCTGCATCACTGGGCACTTCTTCCCCGGAGGCTTCTTCCCCTCTGGCTGCTAGCAGGGAACTGCCCCCCCTAGGCCCCGTCCTGGGGTTTATATGGACCCAAGACCTTGACTCTTCTGGTCAGTTGACCATGTGCAGGTGCAGGCTATTTTGCTCTCTGGCTTGTTGCTCTTGTAACCTGTACCTGGGCTTCTGCCTCTCTCACCAGGCAGTTTCTGCCCTTCCACTTTAGTGCCCCTGCAACAGTAGGGTCTCCTCATCTTTCCTTTACTTGACAATGAAGTCAGCTTTAAGTTAGATACATTAGTTCAGGATGACATTACCCTCTGAGTGAGTTGGATCCTGTAGCAGGTTGTCAACTAGCCTGGCTCAAATCAGTCCTTGAGCCCTGTAATTTGGTCACAGCAGCAGTCTCTCTCTGGGCTCAGAACTACAAACTGTAATGCCCTGGGTTTCTCTGCTTCCCAGGGGTCAGACAGAAGCGAACAATCTAACTGAACACACCTGTAGCATGCACAGCAACACAAGCCTCAAAGCCCCAGGTTAGTCTACACCATGGACTCAGTTGCTATTACAAAACAATTCCAAAATAAACACTCCCAGCCAGGGTTAGTTCTCACTTTCTGGTCTTTCTTTGAGGAGTCTTCTCTCTCCATGCTAACATTCCCCTCTCCCTCCTCCCCGCCCCCTTTATATCTGAGTCAACTTCCCCTCATTACTGATTAACTGAGCCAGCTGTGGCCCCTTAGGTGTGTGACCTGTTACCAGCTGGCTAATTACTACAGGATGCCAGTCTGCAGCCCGTTAGAGATACCAATAGCATATCTTCCTTTAACTGAATAACTGAAATTAAGTCAATCACCCAATAAGATAGGACAGAGTCATCAAGACAATTAGAGATGATAGGAAGCATTGATCATAGATATTGCTATGTGAGACTGTGTTAGCAAGGAATCCAAAATGACTTAGAAACTATAGACTGACGTGGTCAAGGATCAGGATATATTTTCAAACCAAGGAGATCCAAGTCTATCAACTGTCAACTCTTCAAAATGTTTTTCCTTTTTGCATCAATATCACCACTTCCTTGCTCAGGTTCAAGTCCATTCAGCTGTTTCTTAACTAACTGATCTTATCTAAGCATGAAGTAATCTTAGAGTAAGGAAATAATATGTGGTGAGGGATTAATACAGCCATGTGTCATCTTCATATGGCTGTTTCTTGAGTCCACATCATCTGACCAGTTTACCCATCAGCTATATGAAGATGCTGAAAAGAACTGGAGAGAGAATTAATCTTTCTAGGACTCCACAAGTCAGTGGTCAGTTGATGGAAATACAGGTTCCATACTTTACTAATAGATGACTAGAATATGACATGAAGTATTTAAGAATTTGTGGCTAGGTTTTGTTTATGGTGAGTACTCTAGGTGCAAGAAAAATGAAATATTTTAAACAGTATTTTCAAGTACATGGAAAAGCATTAGGATTTGATTCTACATTGTATAATCCCCACTGATGTCTGAAGAAGCTAGCTGTAAGAAATACATTTTACAGTGAATTCCTGACTGTAGATGCAAATTCATCTTCAGTTCAAGCCACAGTAAACTCTTTAAGGATTCATTTAAGTGATATAAAACCCATTTTGGATGAGTTTGGTTTCTTAATATATCAAAGCCAACATTGATTTAACAGTGGAGTTGGCCACTTTAATTTGAAAAACACAAGAGCAATAACACTCTAAAAATGTTTTTCTTAGGTGATCTAAACCTCAGCTGTCTAAAAAGTATTTTTCAATGTTGCACCCTCTTACTAGAAATGAATCTAGTGTAGCTCTCCTTTATTATACAACTCTACAACTGTAGAGTTATTTTAATGTTGAATCAAGATGTCCTAACCTCTTAGAGTTTCTATATGAAGAATAACATTTCATCTGGAATATTAAGTAATTTTTTTTACATAGGTTTTAGGAAAATTGGGATGTGAATATTCTCAGAAAAACAAAATAACATCCCAATTGTCTTATTCTAATAAATTTCTAAACTGTTTGGATTTTGTGAATTAGAAAAGGATTTAATATAATTATACTAAGTCATTTGATCCCATTTTTGTAATGATATCAAGTGATTTCTGATGAAAAATTATTCTTTGGTTCCATGTAGACATAACCAATACAGTTTTTCCAGAGACAACACTAGAAGTATTTTTCAATGTTGCACCCTCTTACTAGAAATGAATCTAGTGTAGCTCTCCTTTATTATAGCCATCTATAATGACTGTAAAACCTCTTCTTAATTGGTTTGCTGATTTTTGGTTTCAGAAATAGGAATGGGGGCAGGGTTTTTTGTTCTCAGGGATTTATTTGAACTATGCCATTCAGAAAACTGAATGTGATATTGTGGCAAAGTAGGTTTCCCTCAGGCCAGCCGTCGCCGTCCTCCCACCTGCCTCTGGGCATGCCGCCCACCTGTCTCACCCGCCACAACTTGTTGGAAAATTAATAAATTGTTAAATAAGACAGGAAGCTGGCCATTTTGTGCCCTGATGCCAGGGGGCACTATCTTTGGCTCCATTCCTCCCCTACGCCACAGCCCGAGCTTTGCAGATGTCATCCAGATGTTAACAGTCACACCAGCCCCATATTAGGCTCCAGAATCCTCCTGGCAGGACCCTCCTTTGATCCCTCCACTCAGGAGGCCTACATCGCCTTCATTTGGGCTGCCGAGCTCCTTGTAGCTGGCTACCCTCTTGGGTATGGTCCCCCACTCAGGACCTTCAGCCAGACACAGGCCCAGGCCTCACCTCCAAGGCCAGGCGGGGTCCCAGGCCCATGGCTCCGGGTGCCCCTTGCAGTGGGTGCCTGGCCCTTTTGACCTTCTTGGTCCTAGCCCCAGCATGGACCAGTCGAGGGGGCACTCTACTCCTGGCCTCACTAGCCCCACCTTTTCTCTGGGTCCACCTTCCTGGATGTGGGGAGCTGGGGTACCTCACACCATGACTGGTGCCCCAAGGTCTCACAGGGGACTCTCACTGCCCCCGGGGCAGCAGGTCATAGTGCTACTTCAGTTCTTACACTCGGCCTCCCAGCAGTGGAGGATTTACTGGGATCAGGACTTGCCTCTCTCAGTCTGGTGCTGAGCCCCTTTCACTCGGCCTCTGGCCCAAACCTCAGCCTCAGGCATCTGAAGACTTACCTGAGCCTACTCCCCTTGCTTGGGTTTCCACATCACCCCCCTCACTTGGGGCTCCAGATCTCCGCCCCTTACTTGGGGCTACCCCCTCACTGGGGCTCCACAACTCTGCCCCCTCACTTGAGCTACAGATCATGGCCCCCTTCACTGGGGCTACCCCTTCACTGGGGTCCTAGTTTCCACTCCCTTCACTTGGGGCTCCCGACCACCCCCTCACTCAGGGCCATGGGGGTTTGCTCCCCGGTGGGCTCAGGTGGCTGTAACCATGCCCATCCCCAACTTTCCGTCTCGGGGTCTTGCACCCCCACAGGACTCAGGTGGCCACAGCCGTGCCTGGCCCCAACTACCTCTCATGGTACGCAAACCCACCCGAAGGTGAGGGCTAGGGTTAAGGTGTCCATACCCACCTTTCACTGGGGTGATAACTGGCCTGGTATTTCCTGGGGACTCCCATGCTACTGAGAGCCCCACCAGCCCAAGCAGAGAATTCAGATGGTCCTTCCATTTATCAATCACCTCCATCACCTGTTTGTCTTCTCTACATAGATTGTGAGCCCTTCAAGGCACATATAGTCTCTTTCTCTCCATGTGTACAGTGCTTAGGAAAATGAGGCCCCATTTCTGCTTAGCCCTGAGGTACAGCAGCAATAAACACAATTAATAAATTAATGCACATGTGAGGGTTGTTAACATGTTCTTCTGGAAAAAGAAATATGCAGATTGGAAAAATAGCTTTTATAATAGGGCTTCACTAGTGATTAGCTATATTCTGAGTAGTACAATATAAAGCAAGTATAGACGTTTGATGCAAATTTACAAAACCACACTTTATATTACTTATCAACCTTTCCTTCCATAAATGATATTCTAAATGAATAAAAGGTGTATTCATTTGCCAAATGACTAAAAGTATCTTCTATGATAAAATATCACTGAATGATACATATTGATAATAACTTAATTATCTTCATTTGTTGGGTTGTTTTTTTTACAGCTTCTGCCACTTTTGAAGACTTTCAAATCCGCCCCCATGCTCTGTTTGTTCACTCATACCGAGCACCAGCTTTCTGTGACCACTGTGGTGAAATGCTTTGGGGCCTTGTGCGTCAAGGACTTAAATGTGAAGGTATGTTATATTAGAATTTATTCTCAAACACAATAGTGAACTGGAATGAGACTTTTCTGTGTACTGTGTACTCGACAGCAATTGGATATAATGTAGGCACTAGAAGAATTTCAAGTTACAGGGATTATAAGAATTTGTCTGACAGTTATTTCTGCAGAAGAAAAAGCAGCTTGACTAATATTCCAAACAGTTTAACCAGCTACTTAACTTTTTCATATTTGTATAGCCTCTTTTTTAAAGGAATATTGGATTTACAGTAGAGGATCACCAATACATCAGTACAATATAGGATCAGCACTGATATAAAGGTAATTTACTATATTGGAAATCAGCCATATCAGGCCAATAATTTGGCCAGTAAATGGCCCATGCATGCATGCAGCCGTAGCACAGTACAGGTGGCAAGGAGCACAGCCCGGAAGCATGGAGAGCGGCCTCCAGCTGGTAAGTCTGGTGTGGTGGCAGGGGATGTGGGAGAGAAGGAGCTGGGTGCGCAGATCAAGGCCCCCATGGTGAGGGAGGCATGGGGCTGGGGCAAGTGCTGCCCATCCGGGGCAGGGTGGGTGTGGCACAGAGCCCCAGCTTCTCCAATGGACTTGGGGAGGGGGGCTCAGCTTCCACCATGGCACGCTGCTCAGCTGGGAACCACTGATCTAGTGGCTTGTCTGGTGGCTCTCACTGCTGCTTCCACTGCTCATCCAAGAGGGCCGGGGGAGAGCCTGTGCCCCCAGATCTGCATGGGGTGGGGCGGGCTGGGGCAGGGGTAGTGCTGGGAAGGGGCTACATGGGGGGCTGTAGCCACAAATTTGCTGTAGCCCCTTCCCAGCGCAGCCCACCCCTACTGGGAAGAGCTTAGCGCAGCCCCGGCTCCAGCCCACCCTGCGCAGATCCGGGGGCATATGCCACCCCCTGCCTTCCTGGATGAGCAGTGAGAGCAGCAGCAGGAGCTGCTGGATGAGCAGGTGAGTGCCGGACAAGCCACTGAATCACCAGGTCCTGGCTGAGAGGCATGCAGTGGCAGGAGCCAGTGCTGCCCCCACCCTTGCACTCTCCAGATAAGCCACAGTACCATCCTGCGCCCACCCCACCACAGCTTGGCAGTGCTTGCCCCAGCCCCTGCACCAGTCCCAGCCCCATACCTCCCACACCACAGGGGCCTTGATCTGCCTCCCCAGCCCCTTTCCCACCACACCAGACTTACCAGCTGGAGGCAGCCAGGCTGGGTATTAGAAATCGGATGAGCATCGGCTGATATACCTCCTTAAAAATTGGCTATCATTATTGGCTGCAAAAGACTCTATTGGTGCACTCCTAATTTAGAGAGGACTGATAGTGTAAGAAAGACCAAATGACCACAGTTATTCATGGAATATTTATGTTTATTCTGTACTTTATGAAAGTCTTATCTTTCTGTCAGTTAAGTTTCCCTTGGCTTAATTCTTATCTTTCTTTTTTTTAAACCACTGTAATTCAGTTAGTTTAATTGTATTTGCTCTTAATCTGTATTTGTGTAAGTTAAGTGTGCCTGTTATTCCTTATTTTGTTATGACTACTCCGACTCTTCCCAGAGCATCCTTCCTGGGTTCTAATTGGAGTCTTGCCAATGATTGACATATAGTGGAATATTTTATTCCCTACCTTCTGGGTGCAGGGTAAGCAGCCTCCTTAGTGCTTTCAAACCATAGAGAATTGAAGAATTAGGAGGTCAGATTGAGGTGTGGCTATAATTGTAATTTCTGGAAGTGTGTAGTATCCTTAACACCCATTTTAACCTCCAGAATTGGAGAGCTAATTAGTGAAGCTGAGGAAACAACAGTTTCAAAGAAAATGAGGATGCTATGTAGTTCAATATAGAAGTGCATTTTTGCTTTATACTAAAATCATCTATAATAGGAGGGTTTCATATTTTTCTTTTCAGGATGTGGTCTAAACTACCATAAGAGATGTGCATTTAAAATCCCTAACAACTGCAGCGGTGTACGTAAAAGACGACTCTCAAATGTTTCCTTAACAGGAGTCAGCACTGTTCGGACAGTGTCTGCAGAACCCTCACCTAGCACACCAGATGAGGCCCTTCTGGTATGGTATTTCCTAATCATGAAAATACTATATGTTGTCATTGAGAAAAGAACGAAACACAACATTTAAGGATTTTTTTCCTGTCAGACTTGTTGAGAATCAGTATATGTAAATTATACAAATTTTGCTTTATCATAACAAGAAGATCACTGTCTAAATGTGTACTAGCTCATGTGTCAAGTTTGCTTTCCCTAGAGACTTAATACAGTTAATAATAATCTATTTGTGAAAGGTTGTGGTATTTGAGGGTCCAGTTCTGATGTAGTTACCAAGATAAGCAGTCAAAGCTGGTTGAAGGATTAGCACAGAGAAAGTAGAAGAAATAATATGACAACCGTACTTCCTTCAGAACTGGAAACCAAATTTCTTGTGTGCCAAAAAGCATACATATTGATCTGTAGTATAGAAAAAGAAAAGAAGTAAAAGCTTAATTAGAACATGTAAAAAGGGATCTCAGAAACCTGATCATTTTTATTTCTCTGTGTGCGCGTGCACACTTTGGGCCCAATCCTGTTTCAGCCTCATATACATAAATGGCAGGTGCATAACTGCAGTTTTTGGCACCCATGCATAGTTTGGGATTCTGTGTAGCTATCCATGATCTGTTCTTCCATTCTGCACATGATCAGTATATAGCACTTTGGTTGTGTATGTGTCCTGGCAGAATAGAATTGCCCAATCATGCATATAACTTTAGTCATCCTACCCAAGATCTAGCTGGTATCGTGCTGGTTGGGGCACTTTCCTGAAAAGTGAAAGATTTAGGTTCAAATTGCACTTGGGTGAGGAGAGCCTACAACTTGGTTAAATGCTTTAGCCCCAGTCTTTTGATCTAGAAGTGATGGGTACTAGCTATTCTCCTTTGTTGTTTCACTTCCGGTAGGTACAGGTACAAGACAGTCACATTTTACCACAGGTGAAAATAGAATTCAAACTGTGTGTGTGTGTGTCAAAAATTTCCATTATGCAACTATGCACCATGATGCAAGTGAAGGTGATAGAGCAGCAATTCTCAACCAGGGTGCTGCATCACCCTGGGGCATCTACAGATCCTTTCAACAGTGCCAGGGGTGCCATGCACAATATTAGTATTGATGGTGGGAAAACATGATTCAGAAGATAAACCCAGAGATTTCAAATAAGAATCCACAGTGTTAAAACATTCAGATCTTTTATGGTCTGAGTTCTTTGCAATAGAAGAGTTGCTCTATTCCTTTTCCATAGTCAAGAAAGAAATGAAAATGAAGAGCTTACCTTTTCCAGAGGGTGGGTCAAGCATATCAAGGGGTGCCTCAAGTCTAAGGAAGTTGATAATCACTGTAATAGAGTATTTAGCCTGCATAAAGTGTGAACCACAGTGCTTCCTGTGGAGCAGGGATGTCAAACACAGCAGCACAGCTCTAGAACCCAAAGGGTTAATGCTGCCACCACTTGCCACCCTTCCCCCCCCCCACTCGATGGATGTGGGAGTTTAAGTAAATCAGTGGCAGGGAAATGGACATGCGTGCGTGCGTGCGTTTGTGTACGCGTGCACACGCACGCGTGCACGCGTGATGGCCATTTTACCCCCCTGGGTTCTAGATCTTCGCTGATACAGAAACTCTGGCAGCCACAGAGATTTGAGCCTCTGATGTCGCTTGCAGTTTGGATCTGGTTCATGAGGCCAAATGAGTTTTAACCTCCAGTTGTACAGCAAACATCAGCGTGACCAGTATTCTGAATAGTGTGATCAGCCTCCCGTCTTTTTTCCATTTAATGACATTTTCCATAAGCATCTTGTTTTGAAAAGAAGTCTGCCTTTAGACTGAGTTTAGAAAGGAATCTTGATGAAAGGGTGGGTCATCAGCTTCACAATACTGTATCTCTGTAAAGCCATCACAAAATGCTCTGAAGCCAGAAAAAGTTTTCTTTTTCCTTTGGGTTTTTCTTTGTTTTGTTTTTTTGCTCATTTTGTGTTTTGTCATCTTGAAATCTCCAGAAAGATTCAGTGCATTTTGAGGAAAGAAAAATTGATCTAAGGATTTTTTTTTATTGCACCAGGACCGGTTACTTTATACCTAAACATGACTGCTTTTAAATGAGAAATTTTTACCTTGAAAAAAAGATGAGCAATGGCAATAGAAAAGAGGGTATAGTTTTGGTTTCTTTTTATTTAGAATATATCTTGAAGCTAATATTTTTTTAATTACAAATAGAAAACTAATGATTTAATAGCTCTGAGAGTCTGACTTAAACTGATAACGTGAAGGAAGTTCCCAGGTGATTTGCCCACTCTTTGCTTAAATTGCAGCTTGTAGTAAATATGTTATCTGTGATTATTCACCTCAGAAATGGCTTTTCCAAGACCAAGATATTAATTATTAGAATAAGTTGTGTTGCTATATATTCTTTGTCCTAGAAATATTTGCAAATTTGTATATTTAAGTTGCAACAAATATATTTTAATAGCTAAGAAGCTACAATGTGCACACAGAAATGTACCTAATTGTAAATAAAAGTTTAAAACCGTTGCAATTTAAAAACAAAAGAAAGAATGTGGAAGCAAATGAGAACAATCTATGTCATGTTTTCTTCTCAGTTAAGAAGTTAGTTTTATTAAACCTGACATGCCTTAACAATTTTATTGCAAATGACAAGATACCTGGAATTACAAGCAAAACCATCTATGAGCCCTGATTATGTACTGATACTACTAATTATCATTAGCCTTAAGATACTTAGGAATTCAGGTGCACATTATAAATATGTTATTTTTTAATGGAACGCTAGTTAAAATAAGCTGGGTACTCAAATTTTGCGAAAAAACAACCAAGAAAAATCCTTCTACAGATTTTTGTGGTTCTCAAAAATGTATTTTTGATATGTATGATAATTATGATTGTAACTATATCAATAAAGTAAATATCAATAAAAATAAAATTAAGAAGCAGTTTGACACTGCTCTAAGTTGTTTCCAGAACTATGATTAAAAATGATTACTGCCATGTTATATAAATGTTAAACAGCTTAACATTGCTCCAAGCCATGATACTGCCAAAAGAGACAATACTGGCTTTAAAAAGATAAGATGCTTCTCCAGAACAGATAGAAAAGCATTAATAGGTGTTTGTCGTGCAACCCTGAGGCTGAATTTTGAATACCTACCATATGGTGGAAAGTGTAGAACAGTGTTTCATTTTTGTTTGTGTCTAACTACATCTTGAATGATTGTTATTTATGATAATCATTACAAATAATTTTGGGAGGCATGATGGATCACATGATTAGTGACAGAACACTGGGCCTTTGACATTTAGTCCATCAGTCTAAATGCAGCTCAGTTAAGTAATGACTCAAAATTATCATCTAATTTGAGTTTGGTGGCCAGCCTACAATACTTTAAATTTTTAGTCAAAGATCTCAAGGCTGCCATTACTCACTATGTTCTAGCTATGGTATACTTTAGCTTTCAGGATTCTCATAAAAACATTAAATAGGTAGCATCTGCAACACTATTTAACAAGGGTCAGCACCTATTGCCTGTAGGTTGGATCCAGCTTGCAAAAGGATTGCAAGTCCTGCAAAGGCCCAACCTGGTTCACATTTTACTAAGGATGCACCAGTCCCCAGCTGTTTGAATTGGTTTGGGTTTTTCTAATGGCACCAACTACCTCTGGCTTCTCCAGGCTCTGCAAGGAGCTGTTCTTCCTCACTGCAGCCTGTGCCCACTATCACTGGCCCATGGTGCCTACTGGGTCACAAGGTGCGGCCCATATTAGTAACAAATTGCCAACCCCTGCTATTTAATATTTTTTAATCCTCTGGAAGAGTCAGGGTCATCAGTGTGACCATCACAGTGGAGAAATGTGATAGGCTTCATGCCAAACGACAGTGTGTATATAATTTTCTCTATTTTTTTTCTTTAGCAATCACTAACTTCTATCAGGCTGTCCTTTTCTTACAAAATTGATGATTCAGAATGTCATATATGTAGGACATGCATGTGGGGAAAGTGAAAAAAAATTGTAGTGACTAGCAGGCCACAAGCTTAACACTGAGAAATTAAATGAATAACTTTCTGATTTTCCTTTTTTTACAGAGGTAAAAACTATGTTGAAGAAAACCCTAGTTTTTAGTTGAGCATTTTTTTTCCTGCTTTCTTCTTTTTTATGTACATAAATATTATACTTTATTCTCATTCAAATCCCTTGTTTGGATTAATTTCTTCTGCAGTGTTTCTGAGATAAGTTTTGCTTTACTTTATATTGTGGCAGCAACCAAAAGGATTAGGCTATGTTATACTAGGTGTTCTACCAACACAATGGAAGGTGCAGTCGCAAAGAACTTATAATATTTTTATTATTACATGGAATTGAATCACCAGCATATAAACATAACCATAAAGACTCCATTCTGGACCAGTATTTTCAACAGGCCAAATGCCTTTGATTTCTATAGGTGTAATATCAAGCTCATAAAAATAGGGCTGGATGGGATAGCAATAATTGGTCACTTAGATCAAGTTAGGATTGTCTCTAAAGAAACAGGTGATTTAACTGCTGTATAACCTTTGCCTTTCCAGGTTTTTAATTATACTTATTTTGTTGTTTTTTAAATTAAATGATAAGATTTACTTTGTATGGATTAATGTTGGAGGCATTTAGGATACATAAGAGCTTTACATTTAGATTGACCTACACTTGGGCAGGCACTCACAGGGCACATATCAGGCATCAAATGGCATGCTTGATCTAAATTAGTTCATCTCAGGAGGTGAACTAATTTAAGGGATTACCTGACCTACAAAGGAGGTAACCTGATCTAGCAAACTCCTGTACCCGTTTAGACATAGGCCTGGGGCTTGGAAAAGACCAGAACTATGCAGTTCTTACTCCCTTCGACCCTGACTGGGCTATTTTTAGCCCCCCTGGCTACCCTATTGTAGACTCACCAGACCCTCCATGGACCTGCCAAAGCCCCCAAATCCCACAAGCTTCTCCCCCCACCAAGAGTAATTTGCCTTGGGCTGTCCACTCCACTCCCAGTTGAACAGACTGGCTGCCTCTCAATCTAGTCACCTAACTAACCCTAGATTGGGTACAACGGATGTTTGTATGTACCCTTAAATGCTGACCACAGACTGAATTTTTCTATTTCATGCAGACCATATGTGGAGACTGTTAAAATAAGATAAATAATTTGAACACAAAAAACAGGTATATAAATATCTAACACAGATGTAAAACTCCATATTTTTGCATGCTCAGATTTATGTGAGAAAAATGCATGCATAAAATGTATATATGAAAAATTGTGGCTGCAAGTCTACAGAAAATGGTAGTATAATTTATTTTCACAGAACACTCAACATCGTCTGTAATACTTTGTTTTCAATCAAATTCAGTTGGCTTAATTTCTCAAGAGCCTTACCTAGAGTTCCTCCTCTTCTTGTTGGTACCAATAAAAGAGTGAAGACAGCATTTTTTACTAAGAAAGTTTGTTCAGTCAGTTCTGCTTACTTTGCTGATCAACAAAAATGTCACTACTTTTTACTGAAGAGCCAACGGAGCTGAATGCGAGAGAGGCTTCCTGGAAATGTGTTATAAACAGAATCATTAACTAAGTAATGATTTCAGAATCTTTATTATTGGAGTTATGTGGACCAGAAAGAGAGCAGCTTTAGTCAGAGATAGTAAACTTTGTTTGCACAACTATTAGATGGAAAGAATGTCATTTTTCTTGTAAAATAAATATATTTGCCATGGAAATCTTAGAAACATGATAAATATGGAGCCACACCATGATGTTTTACTTGTCCTTTTGCCACTGCATTTTAAACATATAAAACATTGCAAATACATTCTGATCTCTGAGATATCCTTAATTTCCCAATGTGTGGGTACTTGCATCAACATCATCTCATAAGGCATTTACATTATTTGAATTCACAAATTCAAAAGCAGGCTACTTTTAAATGCAACTTAACAGATCTACTTTTAAACGCAACTTAACAGATCTAGCCCTACATATCTAAACATTTTTTTTCATTCTATTACCCAAACAGAAATGACAAGAATATGAAAATCTTAGAATAGGTTATATAACCTAGAGTCCTTTGAATAGTAACTCAATTTGAAAATATAATTATTTTTGTTTTTTATATTCTACTATATGTTAGTCTCTTAGTGTAAAATGATAAAACATCCATGCTTACTTCAAAAATAACATTGTTTTCTGTCTCTCTCTCTCTCTCTCTCTCTCTCTCTCCCTCCCCCCACCCCCAATTCTTTGCTCTCCTTTTTCCTCTTTCCAACTTCCTGTCTCAGTCCCCTGTCAGCCCTGGCTATGAGGTATGTACTAAATTTACTCTGCTGTCTATCATACTATCAAGAATAGATTGTTAGAAATCCAGCAACTTTTATTTAACATCAGTTAGAAGTACTCTTAAAACACACAGGGGTTTATTCAGATGTATGTGTTCTTCAGAGTCATGTGTTCTTCAGAATCCAAGGGTGTATTTAGTTCCAGAGATTAGATTTGTCCTTTAGAGAGCGAGTGGTCAGCCACGCAGTTCAGAATTAGGGTTATACTTTAAAATGTACCTCCACTCAATGTTAGAGTTAGCGGTTACAGCTTACATTTGTGCCATGTCTATGTTTATCAGAAACAAAACCAATTAAAAGCCTTATTTAGTTCTGCTTTGAAAAGATATGAAAAATGGCACCTTTATATTCAACTGGTATTGAGCAAATGGCATTACTTAGAGTGTGTAGTTTTTTTTTATTGGTGGTGGGATCCATGAAGGAGAAACTCAGTTTTGCTTTCAGATTTCTGGAAATGTGTAAGCTTGGAACTGTCTAAAATTTCTAACCCAAATTTTACTCTGAACCTAAACAAATTTGATCTGGACATAATTGAGCAAGAATACATTTGGTACATCATAACCTATTACAGTTGATTTTTTTCAGAATAGAACTGTATTTTAAAACTTAGTCCAAAATTTGGTATCTCTATAGGGGTCAAAGAGTTTGAGTAAACCAGAAAATACGGTGAAGCTTTTAACTTCATCTGTATTCAGTTTGTTCAATATCTTCCTTAATGATCTGGGAGATGGAATGGAGGGCAAGTTTGCAAATGAAACCAAACTGGAGGGTGGGTAGTAGGTACACTGCAGGGTAGGGCTAGGATTTAGAGTAACCTAGACAAATTGGAGAATTGAGCCAAAAGAAATCTCATGAGGTTCAGCAAGGACAAGTGCAAAGTCCTGCACGTAAGACAGAAGAATCCCATATGCCGCTACAGGCTTGGGACCAAATGTTTAAGCAACAGCTCTGCAGAAAAGGACCTGGTAGTTACAGTGGACAATAAGCTGGATATGTGTTAACACTGTACCCTTGTTGCCAAGAAGACTAACAGCATACTGAGCTGCATTAGTAGAAGCATTGCCAGCAGATATGGGGAAGTAATTATTCCCATTTATTCTGCACTGGTGAGGACACATCTGGAGTATTGTGTCCAAGTTTGGGCCCCCACTACAGAAAGGATGTGGACAAGCTGGAGAGAGTTCAGCAGAGGACAACAAAAATGTTAGGGGGCTTGGACACATTACTTCTGAGGAGAAGCTGAGTGAACTGGGCTTATTTGGTATGCAGAAGAGAAGACTGAGAGGGGATTTAATAGCAGCCTTCAACTACCAGAAGGGTGGTTCTAAAGGAGATGGAGCTAGACTGTTTTCAGTGATGGCAGATGACAGAACAAGGACCAATGTTCTCAAGTTGCAGCACAGGAAGTTTAGGCTGGATATTAGGAAAAACTCTCTCACTAGGAGGGTGGTAAAGCACTGGAATGGGTTGCCAAGAGAGGTGATGGAATCTCCATCCCTGGAGGTTTTTGAGGCCTGGTTCAACAAAGCCCTGGCTGGAATGATCTAGTTGGAGATGGCCTTGCTTAGAGCAGGGGGTTGAACTAGCTGACTTCCTGAGGTCATCTAACCCTAATTTTCTATGATTCTATGGTAAACCAGTTTGACACTATAGACTGTACATGTAACTAGATGTGGCTCCACCTAAACCTACATGGATTTAGGTCTGCTATTTTGGCTATTGTTACCCTTAAAAAAAGACAGAGACTTTGACACGTAAGTGAGTAATTGAATAAAATAGAAATATATAGTTTATGTTGGCATAAAAATGGGTCCTTTGCCAGTTTCATGGACTCATGCTAAAAATGTAAATTTGTGGGACAGGGGATGAAACTAATATTTAATTAATCTATGAATTGTGTGGGCACTTGTTCACTGATAATAAAATAACTACAATGCTGAGTTATCTCCTTTGTAGATTTGAAATTTATAAACAAACAAAGAAACCCTAAGCTTTTACTGTGTAGTTTCCTAGATGACGATTCATTTGTTTATTTTTAATTTATGAAAGCCCAAATGGTATGAGACTAGAATTGCTCTTCAGAATACTATTGATGTGAAATATGGTATAGTAAATTACAGTTGAGAGAGAGATATGGTTATTCTGTTCTTGGATAAATATAAAAAAACCCAAACAAGGCATCATTGGATAAGGAGAACATCAAATGGCTTATAGCCTACAAAATTTCATGGGTATGGTACTACTTTTGTTACTGTATGAACTGATCATCATAGGTAAATGAAAAAACACCTAGATTATAAAGTCTACCTCCCTTTAAAACATTAGGGAGTACATCAGATATTATACTGATTCTACTCTTAATCTTTGCTAAAATTGCAGAAGAATAATAAAAGAAAAATTGTATTCAGGTTAAATTCGGTACTTGTTGACATGTGATATTAGAACCCATGAGCCAATAAAAGACCTTTCCAGAGGATCACAAATAAAGCTGTGTTCAAATATATCTTTCTTTTCTCTAAGGAATATTGTTCAGCAAGGCCTGCATGTTATGCAATTAAATTATAATATGAAAGAATCAATATGAATTAGAATATGAAAGAATGGAGAACACAGTCTCCTTTGAGTAGAGCTGCTCCTACCCTACTAGATTTTATCTGTATAAGTTCTTAGGTTCCCCATTGTCATAGTGTCTAAGTGTTCAAATGATTCATTCTTTCAATGAAAATTGCTGGCCAAGCCTTCTCATTCTTTTTTTTTCAGCTCTAGAAGTCAATGACCTTTACTGCATTTCTCTTCCTACTCTAAGCACTGCTTCAAAATAGGGTTTCAGTTGCAATTCAGGGAGCCTACAGATTGTGATTATATCCAGTACAGTTGTAACCACCCTTTCTTTCTTTATGGTGAGATATAGAGTAGTCTTTAAACCTTTTTTCCTGTTATACTCCTATATGAAGAAATTTAATAGTAAAAGTAGGTCATAATTAGGCAGAGAAAAGTAAAAATTATCCAACCCTCTAAATAGAACTCATAGATTAAGATCATGCTATTTTGCTTTTTTTTTCCATTAATTTCCTCCAAATATCCAAGGGTGAGTTTTCTGAATGTTATTTCTTGACTATTGGTTTCCACCCATCATTCAATCTGTTCATGCCCAGTCCTGATATGAAATACACTGTGGGTGTATCTACACGAGACATTGACTAGATTTGCTAATTAACTCCTCTGTAAATGTCTCAGCATCTACATCTATAGGACAATTAGGCTGGAGTAAACCAATAAACTCTGGCACAGGTTAGTACTTGTAAATAAAAGTATCATCATATGGCAGAGTTTTTTACTCTGCAGCAACATATGTGTAGACACTGATGGGGCTGGCTGGGGCATGAGGGTGCTTCAGTGAAGGGTTTGCCTGACAGCTAACCTCTGCACTGAAGCATCCAAATGAGAGTAGCCCTCTCTGAGCCCCCACCAGCTGGGATTGGTTTGACCTAGCTCAACATGCTGCAGTCCTGGGCACACATGTAAACACAGCACCCAGGAGCAACAAACTGTGGTACAATATGTGCTGGAGTTTATTGCTGCAAAGTAATATGCATGTGTTGATGCTCCCTGTTTGTGTGTGATTATTCAGCACCCATGCAGACTCCATGGCTGATTTTACACCCCACGGGGGTTTACTTTGGTTTAATATTCCCTAAATTGAAGCGGTTATTTTTTAAAAACACCGCTTCAATTTAGGGAGAACTAAACCAAAGTAAACTCCTGTGGCATGTACACAAGGATTATGTGCCTTTCTGGTAGGGGTGTGGGGGGGCAAGCTGCCAGCAGGCCAAGTGGTCCCTGAGCTGCGGGAGGGCCGGTGCTTCCCTCCATGGTGGCTTCCAAGGCAGCACCCACCCGCAGGCATCTGCCCCAGGCAGTCCTGTAGGGGCACAGCAGCCATGGAGGGAAGCACCTCCTCCCTTGCCCCACAACTGCACTGGGAAGCCCTGGGCACCCATGCAGCTCTGGCAGGCAGGCAGGCTCTGGGGAGGGAAAAAAAAAGATCAGGCTTACTGCTTTTTTTTTTTTCCTTTAATGGAGTCTGCCTGCATAGACTGCCGCCTGGCTGCCTGCATGTGCAGGGCCTGGTGCTTTGCTCCATAGCTGTAAGGTAGCAAACTAAAATACCGCAGAGGTGTTTTATTTTGCTACATCCCAAAGTCATTTAAAGAGCAATATGCTGCTAACAGTGTAAACAGCTGCGCCATTAAAGCGCAATACACCGCTGACGGTGTAAACAACCATGTCATTAACGTGGTGCAAAAAGGCATTTAAGCTACTTTAAAGGCCAATTTTGTGGTGTGTACCAAGGCCCCATAATAGTACTAGTTTTGATCCACCCCATTCAACTCTATGAAAAGAAGCTATCAGACTTCAGTTAAATCATGATTCATCAGATAGGGAATTTGGCATTGAAATTATTTTTAGATCACCTAATTTAGTATAGTGTCTACAGTCCTTAGCAAATCCTTTGCACAACATAAAGCTTTTGTGCTAGGAAATCCCCAAATCTCTGTCTGAAAAGTGTGAATAGTCACATAAATGCTGTTGAAAGATAGCAATTGTTTGTTATTACTTCCAAAAATAAGATGGGGTACAGGCAGAGCATTTAAAGCAGAGTTTGCTGGCATTGATGTCTGAGCAGGAGGGTGTAGGATATGTAATAATTTCCATGTGAAGATGGTTTCATGTTAACAGATTGTACTGTGGTGAGTTCTTTGATGCATTCATTTAAGTGCTATGAAGACTTTAGTTATCCTTCTTAGTCCTTGCATGATTAAATCATGCTATATACTTAAAGGGAAGGGTTGTAAAGTACAGAGCAGTCAATTATGTATAAAGTAGCCAAATTTTAAGTCATCTTATCATGCTGTATTTCAGTATGCTTAGTTGAAATTTTGCCTCCTTGAGTACAAATTAATAAC